TCTCTTTCAGGAGGTCTCTCTCTTGGAGCGGCTCCATATCGTTGGATGCACTGGGAAAGGAGAGGAATCGTCAGCTCTTTGCTCTCCTGTGCTTCTAGAAGGTTATCCCACCAGGATTCCTCAACAATCCCTTTTCTCTTCAATCCTCACCATCCGATCCTCTTCAGATCCCCGAAGGTGCAGGTCCCTGGACCGGGAGGGGACCTGGGCACCTCTTATCCTCTCTGCCTCGTCCAGGGCCAGTCGGAAGTGGATGGGAAATGGCCTGGAACACGGCAGTCGCGCCGTTCTGCTTCCTGGATGTGCCACAAACGCAGGCTGTCTCCCCTCGGCCAGTTATCTGTCTTCCTTTCCGACCGTCTTACACCAAGAAGGAGGCTCACTTCCAAGGCGAACCCTTCCAACTGGCATCTTCGTGTCCCTCAAGACTTTTTCCTTTTAATTGTTCTTTTTGTCTCCCTTGTATCTCGGCATTCTTCTCCCACTGCTCCTGTGCGCCTACAGACATAGATAGTTCCCGTCAGAGTGAACACGGCTAAACATTGGCCTGGAATGTTGTCAAGAATCCCTTCTAACACCAGCATAATGGCCTTTTCTCCGAAAATCCCCTTAAAAAGTCAGTATCTTTCCTCTGGAACTTGGCAGGAGTCACATAATTGGTTTCTTGTCTTCCATTCATGTCCCCTCCATGCTATTCCTCATGCCTCAGCAGGAATGCTTTCTTTTAAACAAATTCATATGTCAATTTCTGTCTGAAATACTCCAATACGTTCCAATTGCTCTTAGAATAAACACCAGGCTTCTTTTTTTAAAAAATATATTTTATTGATTTTTTTACAGAGAGGAAAGGAGAGGGATAGAGAGTTAGAAACATCGATGAGAGAGAGACATCGATCAGCTGCCTCCTGCACACCCCCTACTGGGGATGTGCCCGCAACCAAGGTACATGCCTTTGACCGGAATCGAACCTGGGACCCTTCAGTCCGCAGGCCGACGCTCTATCCAGTGAGCCAAACTGGTCAGGGCGAACACCAGGCTTCTTACCATGTTGTGCAAAACCCATCCCCATAGACGGCCGGGCTCGCTTCTCTGCAAACTCACTGTGTGCACTTTCATCCTTGTGTGTCCACCTGTTGCCACCCCACCTCCTGTTCATATAGATCCCACTGGGGGCTTGGTCTGCCTGTAGTCACACCATCGACTGTCACGATCAGATCCCATTGAGTTCTTGACACCACAAAACCTTCACATTGGCTGTTCCCTCTACTGGAATGCTCTTCCCAGCACTCAGTCTTACGGTGTTATTAATCCCGAGCCCTCCAGCTTTTGAGAGAAAAAGATTCCCTGTTGTTTTAATTACTCAGATAGTGTTGGGAGCTATGTACCCAAGAAAATCAATGAAGAAAGTCAGGTGGGGAACCAGACTGTTGTCAGTTTTGGATCAAAGGAGGTTCTCAACTGGGTATCCAGGCAGCCAAGTACAGTGCAGTCTACACACAGTGGTGGGGGTACTTGTTTGTGTGGAGATAGTAGTGAAAAATGAGTTCATGATATTGCGCTCACACAAAGGGGTGGTCATGGCGAAGGCACGCTGACAATCAGGCCAGGGCCACCCACGGTTGGAGAAACATGTTCTGACACGGATCAGAACAGCTTTGTGCTTTGGCTCTGATTCAACTGGGAAGAGTGATACAAACCACTTGCTACCACTCGAGCGCTCAGAGGCTGTGAAACTTCTAACCAAGATGCCCTGGAACAAGGTGTCGAAGGCCAGGCTCACAGATGGAGGACTAAACGGTAATACAGAAGGAGACATTTGGGATGTGTTAGGAGTTGAGGTCTAAGAATAGAAACTATAATTTTCAGAAAGCAACAGCATTGATTGTCACTCAAGTATGAATAAATAGCAAACAGATTCCTGGGAAACAGTTGAGTGAAAGCCGGGCGATGGAACTAGAGTTGGAAGCAAAGGTTAAGTCAGAAGAAGGGACATGGCGAGAAAGCGGGTGGAGACCAGCCTTCCTGCTTCCTCCGGGAGAAGAGAACACAGGAGCCTGAGTTGGTCTGCCTCTTTACTCTCCTCCAAACTGCTTGCCTGTTGGGAGGAATCCAATTCATTCGTTTGACAATCACTTGATGGAGTACCAATTGTGTTCCAGACGTCGGCTTGGCACTTGTGATTCCTCGGGGAGAGAAGCAGACAAAGATTCTTGCGCTCTGGAGTTTATATTCCAGTGGAATCGGTGGAGGTTTGGAGACAGAAAGCAATAAAAACATGATATTCTTAAATTGTAATTTGTTATGAGATGATGAGGACTATTAGAAAAAATACATGAAAAGCAGAACAGGGTGTGGGGAAAAGAGAGAGCAGTCAGAGTGCCTAGGGTTTTTATGAACAAATCAGTAAAATGTGCCTGTGAAACTAATATATTTTTCTCATTATTTTTCCTTTTCAGGGGGTCAACTATTTGGGCACAGAACGTGGACTAACATAACCATGGTGGGCAGTCTGTGTCTAACACGGGCCAGCTTGCTTTTCATAGAGAAAAAAGTCCATATCCAATCCGTCTAAAGAAACGATGAGTTGATTACAAAAGAAGGTAATAAGAGGAATGGATTAAGTACCAAAGGCCGGAAACAAGTATATTATTGATTTCCTGAGTCCCCTCCCCCCACCGGATGGGAAGCTTGACAGAGCTGATCTGGTGGTCACAGGTCTCAGTGGGCCTGCATGCGTGGGAAGGATGTCTTTGATCCTCAGACTTATATTTGTGACCCAGAGGGACATTGACTTTGAATTAACCTTGTTGTGGGCTGACATCAATCACTCGGGGACTATTTCCAAACAGATTGCCAAGCAATCAGAGTCTGGGCTTGATCAGCGTGCAGAGTGCCAAGAACTCGCACGGGCTTGATGACAGCAAGAGAAACGGGGCAGAAGGGATGTCTGGTCAACCCCAGAAATAGGGAGCAGCCCTGGCATGTGGCGTGGCCCTGAGAGGGAGTCTCCAGCCTCCTCTGGCCTGTGCTGGGTGGTATGTTTAGAGGTGTTTGTCTCTGAGACATCGTCTACATTACAACTATCCACTGGAAGGGCTGGCTCTTCTGGGACTCCAGCCAGTTTAATTGAATTTCTCCGGCTCCCCAGCTGCTCATCCAGGACACCATCAAATATTGCCTGTATTACTGCAATTACTTTTAAAAGACCACTCTGCTCCTGCTTCTTCCCTTTGCAACCTGTTACCTGCACAGGATCCCTGAGTAATATTTCACACTAGCGTCCCGTGACGTATACTGCACCTAAAAAAAAGACTCCATCTCTTTACCGTGACCATCTCTTTACTCTGGCCCTGCCCAGGCCTCTCACTGCTTTCACTGCACCACCAACATGGTATAAATGGCAAGGGTGGCCAAATATTACCTTCCCTGGATCCGTGGCTCGTGGCAAATATGACTTTGAATCTTCTCCCATCAGACATGTTTATTTCTCTATATCATGAGTCTGGGTTGGCCTTCTTGGCCTCGTTTGTTGAAAGAAATGCAGCAGAACTGAGGTTGTCTGCCCCAGTCCAGGCATCAGCAGGCCTAGCCTGCTTCAGCTCGAATTCTGGGTCATGACATTTTCTGTTTTCCAGGCAAAAGCTAGAGCAAATATTTCGATCGGCACCATTGATGGGAATATCACCCAGTGACACTGTATCTTATTTCCTGTGTTCAATTTGATAAATAATTTCAATTTCATTGCGCAGCCGCCGCGAAGGCTGCCTGCTGGAGGACGAGAGGGCGTGTGGAGCAGAGGTGTGCTATCTCGGTCGAGGCAGTCCCATAGCCAGAAGCCCCCCGCCGACCCAGCCGCTGACCCAGCCGCTGACCTCTGACGTGTGAGAGAGTCCAGCTGAGACCACATCTCTGACTCATAGAAAGGTGAGCCAAATTAATGGCCGATGTTGAAAACATGACACTTTCCGGGTATTCTGATGTGAAGCAATAGCAGCCTCTTTCTGTGCCTCTAATAGGCAAAACCAGTTCCTCCATCTGGATGGTGTGCCCGCTGTTCCCTCTGCCTGGATGGGGGCAGAGGGCACACATAGGTTTTCCACTTCAAATTCACCCATTTGCAAAGTGGGGAGCCTGTAGGACTCTTGAAAACGCTCTCCAAGAAAACCCTCCTCCCCAGTCTTGTCTCTTCCCGCCCAGCGTCCTCCCACAGCTGGGGAGAATCCCAGAGAGCTTTGCCGTCTTGTGCGTGGCCTGTTTGATTGGCGAGGATTTCTCCTTAGAACATGGGGATACTTAGAGCCAATGGTCCTCAGTAGAGATTAGGAATGGGAAAGCCTAATTTAATGCACTTAGTCACTTAGCTCCTTAAAAGGTAGCTTAGATCTGATCTCTGAGCAAACTGGTGTCAGGAGAGGTTGCGAGGTTGGCCGGACCCCCCAGGGTTAGGCAGGGTGCTCGCAGGAAGTTCTCAGAACGTGGGCAGAGGATGCTGTCTCCTGGCAGAGGCGAGGCAGCGACGGCTCATCACAGGGCGCTGTGGGTGTGCCCGGGATAAATGTAATTAGTGTAACTTCCACAACAGTGATCCGTCATATCGTTATCTGCATTTTACAGATGGAGAAGCACAAGTTTACACCAGTTACATGACATTTTCTGTTTTCCAGGCAAAAGAGAGAGCAAATATTTCGATCAGCACCATTGATGGGAATACCACCCAGTGACACTGTGTCTTATTTCCTGTGTTCAATTTGATAAATAATTTCAATTTCATTGCTTTGTTCATTATCAACCCTCTAATGAGTAGAATGATAATCAGCTTGAACGTCCCATGTGTTCCTTTAACTTTCATGTTTTATTTCACGTTGAAATCTCATCAGCCATGGGATGGAGCATTTTCCAGTAGTGATGGGCGTTGACCACACTAGTTAATTCTTATTCTGATTTTTAAAAATCAATCTGGACCATTAACAATAACAGTTCATAGCAACATCCAAATGTGCACTGTTTCTCTCAGTCCCGTCTCAGGCCCGTCCACAATGACCTCATCCTCGCCACCACTTCCATCTTCTCTCCACACGTGCTTCCGTGTCCGTCTGTGGTGTCTGGGCTCTGAACCAGTCTGCACTGAGAAAGAGGCAGACGCACTCAGGGTAAGATTCCAAGGGAACCTGGTTATGCCCCCTTATCTGCGCGCACAGAGAATGTAAGAATGGTTGTCAAGTACCTGTTAGCCTCCGTAGAGATAAGAGACTCCTTTTTCACCTTCCCATTTATCACGCCCATTGGCATGCTTGCACAGCCTCGGGAAAACAACCGCAGGCATTCAGTGTCTGCTCTAATTCCCTGGCCGGACACACAGACCCAAGAGGCTCTTGTGTGTGCAGATATCCTCATTTTCATCACTTTCGCTGTCCGCTGACTGTATATTCCTTGACATAACATGCTTACAATACACAACATGGCATGACAAGGGGTCAGGGGTTTGATAATTTGGACGGACGGTGCTGGATTCTGGCATGGCTGACCAGACGGCGACGTCTCTCGGTGGGAGAATGTGAATACATCAGTCACACGGCCAGCCTTTGCTGTCAAAGCTAATGGGATGCAGAATTTAAACAAAAAAAATGATCCCAGCAGCTCTGTCTGCGCTCCTATCAGAGAAGCAGCTGTGCCCACACGCTGTCCCCCTCTCTCCCCAAAGCCGTCTACACGTGAGATGTCAAAGGTCACCGTTGCTTACAGCTGTGATTCCCGAGATTCTTCATCAGGATAACTAGCTTCTGGGTGAGGCCATCTGTCTTCATTTATCTCTGCAGAATGTCCAGTTGAGAAAGATGAAATGTCTCTATGAGTTTAAGATTTTCCGCTAGGGGAAGCCAAGTCGACATCTCCATCAATTAGTTGATTGGTTTTCTCTGCTATTGTCTAATCTACTTTAATGCAGTAACGACAGGCACACAAATACAGACACAATGAAAGATTAAGGCACAGAACATTTTTTTGGCTTGGGGATAAGACCGAATTGAATTTTTATGGGGGCGATCGTGAATATTTCCCGTTTGCATGACTTGCAAGAAAGCACTGGTGAGCCCTGGCTGGATGACCCCTACCAGCGGCCGCAGTCGCGAAGGCCAGCCCGGTCCCTTGGGAAGAGGGGCAGCTGGTGTCAGCATTGTGACGCGCGGTCGGTTATGATTCTCCTCAAGGCGAGGATGCCAAGAGTAAATACTGACACTGAAATGGCATCCGAAATATTAGGTCCACGAAATGTAATTACTTGGACTGAAGACTGACCTGGTCGCAAGAACAAATGCTCCGCGTGGCACGGAAGAGTCGCGGGAGGTCTCAGAACGTCCATCCCGCGAGCTCACTGCACAGCCGCAGCTCACTGGCTGCAGAGCCCTGCTCACCCTCTTTATTGCAGATAATAATTCCGACTCAATCTCTTTATAGCTATTGTCAGAGACACATATTAAAAAGTTTCTTGTAGCCACCACTGATAGGAAGCAGACGTAAACAACGGGAAGGGATTGGACAGTTGCCTGGGTTAAACAAGGATTCAAGAGGAGCCAGTCATTGACTAGGTTCCTTATGCTGCACTTTATGTCCCCGCGGCTGTTTTATAACTACCACTGAGTGCTTCTTACTCCCGTCAACAAGATTGTGAGAACGTGTACGGGGCCAGGTGGGTACCGGAAATCTCGCTGGGATCCTTCTGTAACGTGCATGATTGTCTAACCACTATGCTGCATACCTGAAACTAATGCAAGATAGTGTTGCATATAAACTGTAATCTATATGTATAAAAGCCTAAGCGACCGTCTGACCGTCCGACCATCCGACGGGTAGCTATGACGTGCACTGACCACCAGAGGGCAGACGCTCAACGCAGGAGCTGCCAAGCTGTAGTGACTTGGCAGCTGTGGTTCTCAGGTGACAGAACCAGAGAGGAGAGAGCCCAATTCTGGGGTGCATCACCCGAGAACCGCCCTCTTGCAATCCGGGACCCCTCAGGGAATGTTGGAGAGTCAGTTTCAGCCTGATCCCCACAGGCCAGGCCGAGGAATCCCACTGGTGCACAAATCCATGCATCGAGCCTCTAGTTGAAAAATAAAAGTAAAAAAAAGAAGACTATATCAGACAATCCTTCTATGAGCATTACTTTGCTTTTTCAGATTTCTAGTTGCTGGAAGCTATCCATTGTCAACACTATCATGAAAGTGCAACAAGGAAGGCTGTTGGACCTTGAGCTTTAGCAAGGGTCCAATTGTTCTGTTGAGATAATGGTGGCTCAAGCAATTTCCTGACCTAATAGTCTCAAAGTAAATCTTTACTAATATTTACTGACCTTTAAGATAGTCTGTCTGCTACCGGATTGCCTGCCTATCTAAGGGCAAGATGTGTATTCTAAAATTGAATAAAAGCTAACAGGGCCTGGGCCCAGTGGAGCCTCTCCACTAGGGAAAGGTTTTCTGCCTGGCCCCATGCCTTCTAAATTCATATTTCTTGCCTAGTGTATTGGTTTGCGCGTGGCCCCTTTTCCAGATCCTGAACCCAAGCCGCAAATGGATATAGCATTCACATCTAGTCTTTTTCCTTTTGCTCTTGGACTGGTACCCAAGGAGAGGGAGGATGACTGTGGTTTCAGGTACCATGAGGCGACACGGACTGTTCCCACTGTGGGCTTGGCCACGAGGACTCCTGCTATCTCATGGATTCTGCACAAAACATGTTGTCACATGTGAACCATCCTTCTCCAAAGGCAGCTTAGTGCAGACGGCGAGTTATCCATTGCTTTGGAAGCAAAGCGGTCCTAGAAGGTCCCAGAGCTGCGACAGGAGCAGGACGTTGTGAAAGAAGAATGGAGGCCAAAGCTTGCATGCCTGTTGGAGGCCAGAGAGAGGAGGTCAGTGTGGGGCTGGCCCCGTGCGGCTGCTTCTCACCGTCTACTCACTGTCATTCAGCAAACAGTTAACACTCATTGGGCCCAGTGTATGTTAGTAATACTGAATGTGACCAGCATAATGATGGCATAGAAAGAAGAATGATAACGATGGATAAGAACAAGAACCTACAGTCGATGTCAATGCTGCCTATATAGGGAAGTTGCATTTCAAAATAAATGGATAATAAACTAAGTTTTCAAGGAAAAAAAAACTAAAAATGAGGAAAAGATTGAGGGCCCTCCATGAAAGAATGGTTAAGAAAGATATTTCTTCCTCATTTTTGTTCTTTTTCTCAAATTGTCCCTTTTCCTTAGATGGAAGTCTGGACAGAGAGATTTTGGATCAACAGAGTCATGCTTTCACTGGAGAGTGGGTCGCTGCTCACGGCACATTACAGATGCTGTCTCCAAGCTTTTTAAAAAGTATTGATTTCTGAGAGGGAGAGAGAGAGAAACATCAATGATGGGAGAGAATCATTGATCGGCTGCCTCCTGCACGGCCCCCCACTGACTGGGAATTGAACCATGAATAGTTCATAGGTCCATGCTCAACCATTGAGATACACCAGCCAGGCTCCATGAGTACTTTTAAACATCAACTTCATTTGCAATAAGAAGCACTAGTTTCAGGGTATATTTTGTTGTGTTTGATAAACTGGTGATGCCTACATTTTTTGGAGGTTGCGGGGCAAAGATATTTCCATGAAAAGGGAATGTTATGGGGAAAGATTTCAAAGGGAGGCCATCACTTCTGTTGAAAATATGTTGCCTTTGAGATTCCTGTAGACACTCAGGTGCAAATGCCCAAAAGGTATCTGTTCTGGGGAGTTACACTTGGACTCCTGCACCTTGGGAGTGGAGAACGGAGAGCGACTGATTGTCAGATGCTGGCTCCAGTGTGGAGAGCAGAGCTCAGTGTTGTGTTTTGATTTTGACAGACAATCAGAACTCGTGAGATGAAGCCCAGTGCAGTGTGTGG